AAATATATGTAGTAGATATAATAGAGTAAAAAAAAATAGATTGGTTAGAAAAGCGGGGTTCAAGAGCTTGATTCTACAAACGCAAATATTAAATAAACACACACACACACACACACACACACACACACACACACACACACACACACACACACACACACACACACACACACACACACACACACACACACACGATTGGTTACACGAACAAATAAACCATTAGAAAAAAAACTCTCATCGCGTTCTCTCTCACTCACCAACTAAACAAAATAATTTTCCCGTATCGTGAGGACTCTCACTATCCGTACTGGCCTCCGGTATCCCACCACCACCACCATCACCATCACCACCACCACTACCACCATTACCACCACATTATTGCATACGAAAACCAACTTACGCGTCTAAATTTAAGACCACCACATGTAACCCCTCCCCCTCCCTTTCCTTCCCTTGCCCCTTCCCCTCTATCTCTCCCCATCCCTCCACACTGCCCCTCCCTCCGTTTTACCCACTCCCTGTTCCAGATCCCGTTGTGAGCGGGATCACAACCCGTTCACAACAGGATTACATTCTCACATTCACACTAGACGGACTACCCAGCGATGCCTTGATCTCTCTCTCTCTGACTCACTCTTTCTTCATAGTTCCTTCCTATTCTTTCTCCTTCCTTCCCCCACTTCCCGTTCTCTCTCTTCCTCTGCTGGTGGACAAAAGATGCTCGGGCAACTGTCAGGTAACATTATCGACGTTCATTCCATGTTCAACAGGCGACAAAAATGGGGTTTAATACTCTATGGATAATCCAACCCACATTTCATAATTCATTGGTGTGGTTGGGATACGGAATATTAGCCAAGGCTTCGTAAAGAGAGGTTTGGGGGATATATATATATATATATATATATATATATATATATATATATATATATATATATATATATATATATATATATATATATATATATATATATATATATATATATATATGTCATACCTAGTAGCCAGAATGCACTTCTCGGCCTGCTATGCAAGGCCCGATTTGCCTAGTTCATGATTTTTTTATAAATCGTTTCCAATTGGTTTATTTGAAATATTATTATTATATTATATCATGAACATAAAGTATTGACTTAGTTATGTTAGTTTTAGGTTAGGTTAGGTTAGGTTAGGTTAGGTAGGGTAGGTAGGGTTAGGTTAGGTTAGGTTAGGTAGGGTTAGGTTAGGTTAGGTTAAGATAGGTTAGGTAGGGTAGGTTAGGTTAGGTTAGGTTAAGATAGGTTAGGTTAGGTTAGGTTAGGTAGGGTTAGGTTAGGTTAGGTTAGGTTAGGTTAGGTTAGGTTAGGTAGGGTAGGGTTAGGTTCGGTCATATATCTACGTTAATTTGAACTCAAACTAAAAAAAATATGAAGTCACATATAATGAAATGGATAGCTTTATCATTTCATAAGAAAAAAAAATTAAAATATATAAATTCAAGAAAACTCTGCTAATTAGGCAAATCGGACCTTGCATAGTAGGCCGAGTATTGCATTCTGGCTACTAGGTACAACACATACACACACACACACACATATATATATATATATATATATATATATATATATATAATATATATATATATATATATATATATATATTTATATATATATATATATATATATATATATATATATATATATATATATATATATATATATATATATATAATATATATATATATATATGTGTGTGTATATCACGAAATAAACACGTGATTAGAATGTGACAATGTCAGACCACGGAGGAAAAATGAAACAGGAAATTTCCTTAAGTACTTTCGTATATTAAATACATCTTCAGAAGGTCACCTTCTGAAGATGTATTTAATATACGAAAGTACTTAAGGAAATTTCCTGTTTCATTTTTCCTCCGTGGTCTGACATTGTCATATATATATATATATATATATATACCAAAATTTTTTGAGTGAATTGTTAAGTGATTGTTGGCTGAGGTCACGGAAGAGCGTCTGGTGGACATGAGACAAAGATCTGTGTCACTCCCTCGCTTTTTGAGCCCTTTCTGTTGACGTTAGTGACGTCACAGGTGTAAACAAAGAGCCAGCCAATCCGTAGGCGCTAATGGGGTCTGGGAGGATGTGACGTCACACAAAGATGTCAACATGGCGTCTCGTCGGAGGCCGAGCTTTTTTTAGCACAAAATTGGAGTCAGTGACCAGACAGGAACGCCACCGAGGCTCGACCTAGTAATGGGACTGGTTAGCATTGTAAATGTCTGGCCACGTCTGTGGTGGTTAGCATTGTAAATGTGTGGCCACGTCTGTGGTAGAAAAAAAATGGTGACTCAAAATGGACTCAAAGCATTCGAGTGTCATTGAATAAAATGTCGATTTGGCTAAAATTTGCTCACTAAGGCCATATATATATATATATATATATATATATATATATATATATATATATATATATATATATATATATATATATATATATATATATATATATATATATATAGTATATTTTGGTAGCAGTCTTTCCTGTAGACATATTTTATTAAATATGACCGAAAAAGTAAGATTAATAATTCTAACACGATTTTCTCAATCTTTCGTACATTATGCTTCACTGTTGGAGGTAAATCAAAAATCACTTCTCCAAAATTCATTTTTATTTCTAGTCTGACGCGACACGGGCGCGTTTCGTAAAACAAAGGCTTGTTCGCATTTGTGTTCCTCACGTGTGCCCCAAAGAATGAGGTGATTTGGTAAAATGCTATGCCCAAGATTACTATCCGAGTGCCGGCGGTGGGGTGGTTCAAATAGCCTCGGCTATCACCTCATTATGTCCGGTCGTGATGGTCAAGTGGATTAAGGCGTCTTGTACATACCAGTTGCGTTGCTTCTGGGAGTATGGGTTCGAGTCACTTCTGGGGTGTGAGTTTTCAGTTGCATATTGTCCTGGGGACCATTCAGGCTTGTTCGCATATATATATATATATTATATATATATATATATATATATATATATATATATAATATATATATATATATATATATATATATATATATACACGTCAAGAGGTCGAGTCCCTTCTCTGAAGTTTTCTGATTTAATTCATATTTTTCTCTGCTTCCATGATCTCTGTCGAGTGATTAATGGTGGTGTTAAACGTGGTTGATCCCCAACCTTAATCTTTCACGCCAGGTTACTCATTAACACCTGGTGGTGGGGCGCCAAATGAGACGGCCGATCTCTCTCCATGAACACTACAGCAAAAAAAAGTGAAGAAAAAACAAGTTTTAATGAAAAACTGGATTCCAGGCGCTATTACAGCGAATATCTTGAAGACATGGTTAAAATGGTCCAATGTGAATCTCCCCTCGTTACTATGGCAACCGGAGTTAGCAGGTGTACTAGAAGTGTCTCAAATGTCCCCTCGTTACCATGATAACCAGGAGGTGACCCCTAGTCTCCCCTCGTTGTCATAACAACCAGGGGGTGTGGAGGAGTACTAGGGTGACCCCTAGTCTCCCCTCGTTGCCATAACAACCAGGGGGTGTGGAGGAGTACTAGGGTGACCCCTAGTCTCCCCTCGTTGCTATAACAACCAGGGGGTGTAGAGAGACACCCAAGTCCACTTGGACGCCCCCCACCTGCACCCAGTCCCCCCCCACCTGCACCTAGACGCCCCCCACCTGCACCTAGACGCCCCCACCTGCACCCAGACCCCCCACCTGCACCCAGACCCCCCCACCTGCACCCAAACCCCCCCACCTGCACCCAAACCCCCCACTAGCCCCCAGACGCCCCCATCAAGCTCATCCCGGCCTGGCAGGTGAAGGAATGACAGACATTCCAGCAGGGTCCGCTGAGAGACCCGGGAAGGCGCCGCGCATCTCAACTACCCTCGCTCACTACCGCACTCTGACACGCCATCTATTGTACCCTCCCGGTCGGGGAAGTCGGACAGGGAGCCGGTCGGCCGAGCGGACAGCACGCTGGACTTGTGATCCTGTGGTCCCGGGTTCGATCCCGGGCGCCGGAGAGAAACAAGGACAGAGTTTCTTTCACCCTATGCCCCTGTTACCTAGCAGTAAAATAGGTATCTGGGTGTTAGTCAGCTGATACGGGGTGTTTCCTGGGGGTGGAGGCCTGGTCGAGGACCGGGCCGCGGGGACACTAAAGCCCCGAAATCATCTCAAGATAACCTCAAGATAACCTCCCCCCCTCAATAGTCCCACTAACATTCGTAGCACCGCTTGTGCCTTTACGCTAGACTGTAATAGATTATTGACCTGGCCGGTACAACAATCTCGTATTTCTCTGGACCGGGTTCGAATCCCCGATGAGCCACGTGGATGGACAGGTATTAGATAAGTTTAGATTCAGGAAAGTCCTGGTTAAATACTGGTTTGGGAAAACTGAGTTCCTGTTGTGTCGAGCAAATTGGTGGGTGATGTAACAGACGTGGGATTGCTTGGTTGTTTCAATCGTAGGTTAGACGCATTATGACTGAGTTTGGGTGGATATAAATAGGCGCTGCCTCGTATATTGGCCAATAGGATTGCTTCATATGGGCCAATAGGCGCTGCCTCGTATATTGGCCAATAGGATTGCTTCATATGGGCCAATAGGCGCTGCCTCGTATATTGGCCAATAGGATTGCTTCATATGGGCCAATAGGCGCTGCCTCGTATATTGGCCAATAGGATTGCTTCATATGGGCCAATAGGCGCTGCCTCGTATATTGGCCAATAGGATTGCTTCATATGGGCCAATAGGAGCTGCTTCGTATGGTATAGTCTGCATTACACAACAAACAACCACACTACACACAAACAAAAACAGTGTTCACTCCATCGAGGATAATTCCTTAATACAGTCCGGTTACAGCAACTAATGAATTGGGTAAATATAAACTCCCAGATTATCCCGCAACCGGATTGTTACTGACGTTCGGTTAATCACAGCCTTTATTGGAAGCCCTGAACCGGCCCTCAGGGAACGTGCCGAATACGTCCTCAGGTTCGGAGCCTTCAAGATCTTCCGAATTGGCCTTCAAGAAGGCTCCGAACTATCCCTCAAGAAGGCTCCCGACTAGTCTTCAAGGAGGCTCCGAACTAGCCTTCAAGAAGGCTCCGAACTATCCCTCAAGAAGGCTCCCAACTAGCCTTGAAGGAGGCTCCGAACTAGCCTTCAAGAAGGCTCCGAACTTGCCCTCAAGGAGGCTCCGAACTAGCCTTCAAGAAGGCTCCCAACTAGCCTTCAAGGAGGCTCCGAACTAGCCTTCAAGAAGGCTCCGAACTTGCCCTCAAGGAGGCTCCGAACTAGCCTTCAAGAAGGCTCCGAACTTGCCCTCAAGGAGGCTCCGAACTAGCCTTCAAGAAGGCTCCCAACTAGCCTTCAAGGAGGCTCCGAACTAGCCTTCAAGAAGGCTCCGAACTTGCCCTCAAGGAAGCTCCGAACTAGCCTTCAAGAAGGCTCCGAACTTGCCCTTAAGGAGGCTCCGAACTAGCCTTCAAGAAGGCTCCCAACTAGCCTTCAAGAAGGCTCCGAACTTGCCCTCAAGGAGGCTCCGAACTAGCCTTCAAGAAGGCTCCCAACTAGCCTTCAAGGAGGCTCCGAACTAGCCTTCAAGAAGGCTCCCAACTAGCCTTCAAGAAGACTCCGAATTAGCCTTCAAGGAGGCTCCGAACTAGTCCTCAAGAAAGCTCCGAACTAGCCCTCAAGAAAGCTCCGAACTAGCCCTCAAGAAGGCTCCGAACTAGCCCTCAAGGAGCTCCGAACTAGCCCTCAAGAGGGCTCCGAACTAGCCCTCAAGAAAACTCCGAACTTACCCTCAATAGGGCTCCGAACTATCCCCTCAAAAAGACTCCGAACTAGCCATCAAAAAGGCTCCGAACTGCATACTTTCTCCGTACGAACTGTCGTACGCTAATCCTTACAATGTCTTCGAAAGGTGAGATGTAACACAAAGAAGGAGCAAGGGTGTCAAGCTCAACAAGCGACAATGTGGGACTGAGAACACGAGATGCTTCTCTCTCTCACCCACAGGTTTATTAATCCAATGGAACCCCCTACCCGCCGAAGTCGTAAATGCCAAAGACTATGTTAAAATTTTAAAACCAAACTTAAAAAAAATCATCAGGGGGCAAGAAGCTGGACCTTAGACAAGCCGCGGGCTTCCTGTTCTCGTCGAGGCCGCTAAAGTGTTAGTGGTCCTCAGGTAAATTCAGGTAAAGGTACTATAGACTCCTAAGAGAGGAAGAGACAGATACATAAAATGTACTTGAGAGAGGAGTGACAGAGATAACCAATATGAACGAACGAGACAGATAACCAAAATGAACGAACGAGACAGAGATAACCAAAATGAACGAACGAGACAGAGATAACCAAAATGAACGAACGAGACAGAGATAACCAAAATGAACGAACGAGACAGAGATAACCAATATGAACGAACGAGACAGAGATAACCAAATAAACGAACGAGACAGAGATAACCAATATGAACGAACGAGACAGAGATAACCAATATGAACGAACGAGACAGAGATAACCAAAATGAACGAACGAGACAGAGATAACCAAAATGAGCGAACGAAACAGATAACCAAAAGTCAACGAGACAGAGAGAGACGGAAAAGAGAACTTTTCACACCTGAGACAAAGTCAGGCGCCGGGGGGTGGGGTGGGGGGGGGGGGGTGGGGGTGTGGCAGAGAAAACGGGATGTGTGTGGCAGAGACCGCACGCTCCAGTTGCTGTCTGGTCGGTTACGCTGCCATTGACGTCTTGGCCCGCCCGCACGCCCGCACGCCCACGCTTCTGGTGGCCCGGCCCAGACGGTTGACCTAGTGCTGGTGAGACGCTGTGGAACCGGAAGAACACACTAAGATGGTGGTGCTGTGGAGGTGAGGAGAATATCAACCAAGAATAAAAGACAGTAGGGGGCG